ACAGTCTATGACCCTCACAGTTTTTCTTTTAGGTACACTAGGAGCAGGGGTGCTGCTGCCTTTGAATTTCAGCTTAGGTAGGAAATGTTTTCTTTTTGTTTCTTTTGCAATTTATGGAGCAATTTGAACAACTATTAGCCCTCTTTTGATTTGATTTCGTTTGTTGATTTAGCAGCACCCACAAGCCCTCTTTTCCTTTGCAGTTATACCTCTTTTATTTGTCAATGATATTACTAAGAATGAAATAACTTCACTGAAAAAAACATGGTTTTTATGTTGCTTCCCTTTACCCTAGCAGAGATGGGATGTAACAGACAGGCTCTGACATTGTAGTTCTCAGTTATACAAATGAACATCCCATTGCCTCAGTGTACATACTGCTGAGCTACGTCTTCATTACTCTAGATTGGGTTGAATAAAACTCATTTTAAAAAGGCCATATCGGCAGCGACTCAGTTTTAGCACAGTACAATACAATGTCAGATATGATCAGTAATAGCCAGGATTTATTCAATTAAATAATCTCAATGTGTGCAGGAAGAAGGAAACAAGGTGTTGACGTCATGGCAGGCCTTATGGGTAGTGGAAGAATGGACAAACTGGGCAAATAAGATGTTGAAAAAGCATACAGAGACACAAATATTAGTCTCTCGAAATCAGACGAAAAGAGCACTGTATGGAAAGAAATCAATTAATAGTTGCAGCAGCACTGGGATGGGCAGATAAGAGGAGGACATTTATATTCCTATCAGAATAGAATTGGTATTATGAGAAGGAGGAGAGGAAGCAGAAAATAGGAGACAATTATAACCAGGATGTAGGACACGGTAATGTGATCAGCACACTTGACAATTTAGGAAAGCATCCAACAAGTTTAGTTGTGGGAAATGTAAAGCAGAGACAGAGGATGTGATTAAAGAAATGGAAAGATTAGTGCAAACAGGAGCAGAAATACAGAGAATACTGCAGACTGAAGCAGAAGAAGCTTCATCAGCTTCCAAAGGAGAACAGGACTAGTGAGATAAATCCGGCACACAGGACATGGTATGAGCAGCACAACGATTTAGATGTAAACTGCGTTTTAAGAAAAAGAAGAGAGAGAAAAGATACACATTTAAAGAGGTAATTAATGTGGTTGAAAAGATTCAAGTTTTCAGTGAAAGAACACAAACAGTAATGTTTACTAGAAAGACAGGTGTTGATGTAGGGATAGTCTGTCAATGCTGCAGAGATAAACAACATTAAACTGGATTGAAGAATTATCATTATTCTATGTTCAGATTTGCATTAATATCAATGCAGTCATTTGATCTCACAGCATGTAGTTAATGAAGTTAAGATTCTATCTATTAATATTTTAATTATGAGGAGGAGGGGATAAGAGATAGAAAAGAGGAGGAGAAGGAGGAGGAAAAAGAATGAGATTAAGGAGGAGAAGGTGGAGAGGAAGAAGAAGGATGAGGAGGGAGAGAAGAAGAGGAAGAACAAAGAAGGATGAGGAGGAGAAGAAGACAGCGGGGAGGAAAACAGATGGACAAAGAATGAGGAGAAGAAGAAGAGGAGAAGAAAAAGAAGAACAAAAAGGAGAATAGCTATATTTAAAAAATAAAGAAATAATTAAAACATCACTGAAGACATAGCCTCTTATACACGTTATACATGTGGCAAACATAACATTTATTTACTGTTTCTCTCCTCTTTTTTTGCCATTTTCTCGTTGTTTTGATCATTCTATTGCATTTCGCTATTCCGATAAGAAAATGTGTATATTTTATCTCTCTTTTTTTTTTATTACACTAATGTTTTGCCACTATTGATATTTTAGAAAGCAGATTCAATGTGAACTGTGAGCAGAAACTCGTCGCCTAGATGACGTCAGCAGGTCTGAGCTCAGTTTAGCGCGGATTTTAAAAACTGAAATTTCCAGACTACATTAGCTGAGTAGTTATGGAGTCAGAATTAATAATAACCTCGCCAACATTAAACATACCGATGTAGTGTGTTAAACTTAGTTTATTTTTCTTTGTGTACGTTTCGGTGTTCGATCATAGACTGTGTAGGAAAGAGGCAAATCGTGACGCAATCAAACGGCGCCGCGGTGTTTGTAACGTCAGCCAGCGGTAACTGTAACTTCTCAGTACGGAAGAGTAGCCAATTCTAAAAATAAATATCTTGTGTAGACAACTGCTTGTACAAAGGCAAGTTCTGTATTAATTCAGACACCTCTGGTTTCTCTGAGTCATTTTGAAAGTGTGTAATTTAGGAAATTATTGCAGATACTTGCAGGACAAAGTTAGCCAACAAGCTAACATTAAAAACACTTTGTAACACCGCGACCGTCCGAGAGGACAGCAGCACAATTAAATGTTAATAATGGAGGATAACTCGTCTTGTTCTTCGGTGGCGACTGGTCTTCCTCAAGCGTCTTTCCTCCAGAGGACGTTGGAGCGGTTATCATCCACACAGTGCCTGAAACTCCGAGCTGAGGAGGCGGCTCCCGTCGCTGTCGTGGCTCTTCAGAGGTACCTGTCTGAGCAGACCGAGGGGCAGCAGCTGGACAGCTACAGCTACGACGTGACGGTTACCGACGGAGTCTGGAGAGCCAAATGCTTCGTTCACCCTGCCTTAAATCACCTGGTGCACAGAAACACCCTGCGGACCGGGACCGACATCAGCATCACGCAGTGCTCTTTTGTTTACAACGAGAGGAGACTGGGCCACGGTTACATCTGCATCGAGAAGCTCACATGTGATGCAGAGAGGTCCGCCGTCCTGCCCCGCGTTCACGATGTCAGCTCACTGCCCATGCTGGTCAAACACGGCATGGAGAGGAGCCTGGTGCTGCACAGTGATGTTCCCCTTCAGGTAAACCGCAAACACTACCTGTCTCTGTGGAACAACGACGACCCGGAGGGAGACATCTGGACCTCAGGGTGCCCTCCATCTGAGACAGTCCTGGACGGTGAGATCCTGAGCTTTCTGTCACACATTTATTATTACATGTCATTTACATCACTCACATGCACTTTACTACTTTGGTTTTATGTAAAGTCAGACATGGAGTAGAGAAGACAGATGTGGTGTGTGGCTGCAGCTAACAATTATTTCAATTATTGCTTTGTTGATAAGTTTTCTATTTTTTCTTCTGGGCAAAAACTTTGCAAAATAGTGAGAAATGCCCATCACAGTTTCTCAGGACCCAGAGTAATGTCTTCCAAATGCTTATGTCTTCAAACCATGAGAAGAAAAACACCAATAGATTTATAGTGATATAAAACAGACCAAGAAAATCCTAAGATTTGCAAAGCTGAAAGTGGAGATTGATTGATTGATTGACTGATTGATTAATTGCCTCTTGATGAGAATTGTCCTCTTTAACTAATGTCAAGAGATATCGTCTCAGAATCAGAAATACTTTATTGATCCCTTAGGGGAAATTGCTTTCAGTTGCAGATGCTACCAATCAAAAGTCTTAAAGAAGTAGACAGTAAAAATATACAGTAAAACATAAAGAATTCATATGAAAATAAAATAAAAATCGAACACAAAATAAATATACATTCTGCTGTTTTAAGTGTATATACAATGTAACAATAATAGTACCACCATTTGGATTATTCACATGACTAGCTTGCATATTTAGATAATAATTCTAACTATCCATCCATTATCTATACACCGCTTAATCCTCACTAGGGTCATGGGGGACTGGAGTCTATCCCAGCTGACTTAGGGTGAAAGTAGGGGACACCCTGGACAGGTCACCAGTCTATCACAGGGCTACACTTAGAGACAGACAACCAAACACACTCACATTCACACCTATGGACAATTTAGAATCACCAATTAACCTCAACATGTTTTTGGAGGAAGCCGGAGAACCCGGAGAGAACCCACACTGCACGGGGAGAACATGCGAACTCCACACAGAAAGATCCCGGGTGTCCTCACCGGGATGCGAACCAGCAACCTTCTAGCTGCAAGGCAACGGTGCTAACCACCGAGCCAGTTTGCTAATTCTAACTAATTCAGGATAATTTATGACATAAAAAGTATCCTCTGAGAGAATATGTCATCTTACATTATAAAACCAAGATGATATTCATGTACTTTATTTCCATATGAATGCTTGAATACTTTACTTAAATGTACATGGTAGGAGCAGCTGTTGACAAAAATATACTCACTGAAATGGAGTCTCTATTCATTCCAGCTAATGCCTCTCAGTCATAAAAAATACATTTATAATAATATTTTTTTGCTCTACTAAATTGCACTGAAAATCCTGGTGATAAGATTAATGCAATGTTGTTTTTTGTTGTTGTTTTTCCCAACAGTGTCCAAGGTTTCTCTTCTGTCTAGTCTGGACTCCTCCTTAAGAAACACATGGAAACCGCTCCCTCTCCTGGTGAAAATAATACACAAATCCAGATTGAGGTATTATGGAAAGTTCGGGCTCAAGATTGACTACCCCTACCAGGTGAGTGAGAACCTAACAGAGATTTTGTGCATTATGATAAATCATGTGCTTTGTTCCTTTTAAATGAATAAATAGACAATAAAGTATAGCTTACATGTTTTTGTCTTCATGTCAGGTATACTTTGAGGTTGCTGACCAGAGCGGCACCATGTCCCTTGTGCTGTGGAACGAACTTTGTCCTGAGTTTTACCAGAGACTGAATGTCGGCACAGTGCTGTACCTCCAAAACTACACCCTGAAGCAGAGTTATTCAAACCGATCACGGCCGCAAATGGACCATCACAGAATGAAGACCTTCACCTCTGTAGGTGTGTACTTAACTACTGATCACAGTCTTGAATTTTAAATTTTAGAATTATCATTTTGTGTGAAACCTGGATGGCATCCTTATCACACACTGCTTCATATTCAAATTAGAAAGAATGTATTCTAGCATTTATTTTTTTATTCTGCAAGATTACACCAACAGGGTATTTAGAGGCTTAAATATAGAACACAAAAGTGAAAATCCTGCTTTGAAAAGTCATTCATAACAGCTTTGTTTACGTTTGTCATCTTTTCCACTGATTTATTTTTGCTATACCCAGAGGGGCTCGTGAACTAACCGCAGAGCTTACACTCTGTCACGCTGTCTGAATATATGTTTTCCCAAGAAATCTGCCTGAACCCTCGTAATCCAGCTTCAGTCATCACTGTGGTCTCACCAAAAAGTGTCTTGCCTCAGTGGGGCCTGCCTGAGGTTTCCTACCAGTTTACCACAAGGTGATAAATCGTTTAAGTCCTCCGCAGTCTTACATTTGTCTGTTTTTTATCTTGTGCCTGAGGCTATGCTATATATTTACTTCACTGTTTTGGTCTATACAAATATGAAATTGTGGTTAATACTTGTGCTTGCTGCTGTCTCATGTATTAGAATAATTTACATTTTGTTGTGCTATGATTCTTCCAGGTCCGAGTTGGAGAAACTGGCCAATAATTCTGCGTGTGATGTAATCTGTTTGGTAACATTTGTCGGCCGTGTTGAAAGAGTCAAGAGTAAAGGAAACAAGGGTAGGATGTGTTCATGTTTATCCCAGAGGAACTTTATTTTTATTTTTAAATGTAAGAAAGGCTACTAAATTTAGATTTTTGTTTGGTGATTGACTATTTTCACCTCTAAGGTCCAGAAAAATACTGGACGTATCGCTGGGTCCACGCAGTGGATGGAACATCTGATCAACCCTTTATTCTGGAGCTTTTTTCCTCTTCTCAAGCAGAAGTCTTCAGTCGTATTTGTCCAAGTAAGTCAGCTGGATCAGCTCGTACCCGATTCTTCTGCTGCCACGCTAGTAAACATGTTAAACATCAATATTCTATTCTATTCTATTCTATTCTATTCTATTCTATTCTATTCTATTCTATGTTACTTTTCTCTATTTTTATTTATGCTCGTCTCTTCCACAGTGACCTACCTGGTTTGCACTCAGATGAGGGTTTGTCAGGTGGAAGGCTCGTTGCCGTACCTTACAAGCAGCTGTGAGACCGAGACGTTTATCACAGGTTAGCGCAGCTGTAACAAGAAGTACCCGATGATACGTGCTGACGGGTTTGGTTACTGCATGTGGAGCTGACTCGCGTATTATGTGTCCACAACAGGATACCACAAAGGTCAACCATATGTGAATGACCCCCGAGTGAAGAGCTTCATCCAGTGGACCAAGACTCTGAAGGACAACGTTGTCCTGCAGAAGACTGCTGTTGGTGGCCATTACTGCTACCCTCGGCCTCCCCAGATATTTACACAGTCGATGGCAGATGCATCAGGTGAAGGGAAAAAACAGAATGATTCAGTATATTTTTACATACTTTGTCTGTCTGGCCCTCTGTGCTACAGTTTCATTTCAGAATGCATTTATTAGATTCAGAAAAAATGTTGAGCTTTGTTTTTTTTGTAATTTAATGGCATGAAATGATCTGCTTCAGTACTGAACTGTAATGAGATGCAGTCGGCTCTGTTGTGGGCAGCAGGAATCAAATAATATCTGTCAGCTGAATTCTGTAGTCATCCCACATGCGTAGAATCAGTGTAGATCATCTGGACTGTACATTGTCTTTGTAATTTTACTTCATTCTCCAGGTAGACCCTCACTTTAAAACCTTTATCGTCTTTTTTCAGCTCAAGTTCCGCTGGTTTCTGCGGCTGACCTGAAGCGGGAGCTGGAGACCCTGCAGTACAGAGAACATAAGAAACTTGCAATTCAAGGACAGATCATAGCCGTTCAGTACATGAAAAACCCAAAGACCACTGAGTCACTAAGGACAGAAGAGGTAAAAGACATTATTTTAAAGAGCCTTTCCAAGAGTGGGCACCATTTAAAACGTAAAATCAAGTCAGGTCGTCCTCTGCAGGTTTCCACTGATGCGTGTGAACAAGCTGTACCTGACCCACACAATCATCCCGTAACGGACAGTTTAACATCGTCCTCTCCTGACAAAAGCTCAGCAAGCAGCAGGAAAAGAAGAATTCAGATGAGGTATGGTTTGTGAGCTGAATATAAAACCAGTAATTGTACTTTGGAGGCAGATAAGTCGATAAAAGTAAGGTGTTTTTCAGGAAAGCCGCACAATCCTCCCTGGATCATGGTGGTGCTCCAACTAAAAGGTAGTTAATATTCATAAGGTAGCGTTCGTTAGTGAAACATTTCAACCTTTCTGAGCTCATTTGTCTCTGCCCCTACAGAAGGGTTCGACATAAAAACACTGAGGAAGAAAAAGAGCAGGAGGAAGATGAGAGCGACTCTGAAGAGGTTCAACATGTGGACCAGGATTTACAGAATCAAAGTCAAGGTGAGTTACTGAAGCTTCACCTGCACTACAGTGTAACACTGTTGTCCTGATACACTCCTGTTTGTCCCCCACCAGACTCTCATGTGTTATCTTGGGAAAGCAGCAGCTGGCCGAAGCAACAAGAAGACGTGTGTGAACATCTGAGTCAAGGTGGTCTGTACCAGGACAGCGTTTCTCAAAGGTTCACGTTTGATGAGAAGAACGTCCTCCTGCGGTGGAGTAACCTGCAGCCAACACGCTGGACACCAGAACAAACCGCTGACACCATCCCTCCTGCACTTTGTCCAGGATACTACCAAGTAACAATATTAGGTAAAGCAGCATTACTCTGAACGGTGATGCACAAGAAAACACTTGACTTAGAAACGTAGTCATTCCAGCCTCCTTTGTTTGTGGACCTTGAGTCAGAATGTCCTATTTTTTCCTGCATAATATCTTATTCAGAGAAATTAGGCCACAACTTTCCATTTCCTATGAGGAGGCGGTTCAGCCAGACAAAAGAATTCTGCCTCATTCATTTAGTCCTGAATAATCGTAGCTAACGGACGTTTGTTTGTGTTACATTACCTTTACGTCATCAATGAGTCATGCTGAGGTGGAGACCTGCTGTCAGAAGACAAAGACACACAGTCAGAAGTCCTAATCCCTGTTAGAAAACACTAGAATTCATATGACGATCATCTGGGTGGATCTGCTCCTTTAAATATTTGTTTTATGACTTCTGTTCCATTTCCAACAAGTCTTGTCATAGACGTCAATACAATTAGACTTCATGTTGCAAACTGTCGCCCCCTGCTGGCCACTAGGAAAAATGCAGGTTGATGTTTGTCTTATTTTTCAGACCTGAGAGTCAGACCTGGTGTCTTTGAACAGCAGCTTTTACCATCACAACACTAGTGATGCCACATGTCTGCCATCAGTTAGGGCTGAAAACCAGCCATTAAAAATAACCTGTTTTTATGCCAGAATGTTGGATATAGAATAGTGATAAGAGCAGTTTTAAAAATTCCCTGCTCTTCATGTTTAACCTCTCTGACAGGCATTAACAAGCAGATGGCCGTTGATGCTGCGTATTTTCCGGTTGTGAGTTCCGATGATCCCCGTGCTGTTGGCCTTCCTCAGGAGGCACACGGCAACACGATGCTGTCCTGCCTCTCCTCGGGTTTCATCTGCCCTCTGAGAAACACAGCCAGTCACAGTGAAGCACCTCTTCCAGAACCAGGTAGCCATTCAGGAAGCAGTCGCTGACGCACGCTGTTCCTGCAGAGTGTCGTATCATTAACACATCACATTTGATGTCTGTGTTGCAGGGGAGATGTTGGTGACTGCCAGTGAGCTGGAGGACACTCATGTTGTGTGCATCTTGGACCTTTGTCATCTGGGAGGAGATGAGGTGGAAATCCTGATCAGCAAGGTGTACAGAGTGACCGAGGTTTCTCTTGACTAGAAGCTCTTAACCAATCACAGTCCATTAAAAACAGGATGCACTGATGATGCTCACTCGAAACACAGACGGGGGAAATGTTTGTGGTGAAACATCTGCCTGTAGCGAGGCGAGCGCTGTCATCAAAATCAATCATATTCCTGAAAAAAAAAAAAAAACAACTAGCAGGGCTGCATCACTGTGAGATCTGAATTCAGAACTTGAACTTTTCAACATGTAGGTTGGCGGAAATTGTTTCCGAACGGAGAGCAAACGGATCTCCACCGAATTTTACAAAAGGTGTATTGGATTAAAATCACATACTCCTCCTTTAATCATATAATTTGTTTATAATTTTTTTTGTTGTTGTTGTTGTTTGTTTGATAGATGGAGCAAAGGAAAGCTAATGCTCCTGTTTTAGAGTAATCCTCATTTGAGACTTGTAAATCCTCTGATCAGCTGTATATATGTACAATAAATATCACATCATTTGTAAAGAGTATATTTTTTATGATTAAAATTCTGAACTACATAAATCTGCCCCCTTTTTATTTATGTCCCACTTCAACTGTATATTTATTAGGAAAATCAGGAGTTGCTCGGGCTACAAATAAAGTCTACGAATTTGTAATTCAGTATTATTTATGTGCTGCTATCAAACCTTTTGTCTCCATGTCCAGTGGCCTGAATTTTTCTCACACAGAAAATGAAAATGTATTTTCTTTTTTGCACTAAAAAAAAAAAAAAGCCAAGAAACATTGCCGTTAATGAATACCTAAGTAAAAAGCTTGCTCAGAATAACCATCCATATGTTTAAAAAGATTTATTTTCAAATATTTCACAATATCCAGGTTGATTTATAAATAATTCAATATATCATAATTAATATCAAGATATTTTAGAATGTAAACTTAATTTGTTAATTTCTTTTAAAACAATGTTAACAATATTTTTAAAGCTTATTTTGATGGTAAATACAGAAAGAAAACAAGCCATACAAGTGACTGTGCAACACCAACTCGAACGCAAAAAAAAAAAAAGCCTCACCTCCTCTAATAAGACACTTCATTATCTGTTACAAAATTACTTTAATTTTAAAATCATGTAACATACATATGTAATCTATTAGACATATAAAATAAACAACTATGTAGCCTAAACTTTTTTTTTTTGTACATTCTATTATACAATATATTCATTGTTTGTTTCTGCACTGAAACTGCAGAAATGGCTGTATACCAGGTTGGTTTTGTTCATGTCCTGGCAAATCTTACACAGAAAGCATTGATCTGACTGCACACGCTCACTCTTAAGGTGTCAGTCATTATTTTACAAATCAGAAGAAAAAAAAAAATACAAGTTAAATGTGATTAAATTCACATACCTTCAAAAAAAACCAAAAAAAACAGTGACACTCAAAATGAAAAAACCCCATGAAGAAGAAAAGCATTCTGAAGGTTGCATAAAAAATAAAATAAAATAATGAAGGTGCGGCAACGACCGTTTGGGAGAACTCAACTACAAAGAAAAAACAGTACCGACTGAGCGGATGGATTATTTACAACAACTGCAGTGAAGCAATACACACCTAAAAAAAAAACTAGAAATCATCTCACATCCGAAGCAAAATAATTTAGGTGGAGCACAGTGGAATTTAATGAGCAGAATTTCCCTCAACTACCTTTGCAAGGCAAACAACATGAGAACAGTTACTGTGTTTACAGACGTGGACACAAATCTTCTCTGAATGATGCGTTTAGACGGAAAATGATCTCAATGAGGAGTTTTACTAGCACTGCCTCTCTTTCACAAATTTCTAAAGGTTTTTGTTTTTATTATTCAGTAGTTGAATATTATGGATTAACGAAAGGAAAACAAATAGAGTTTCTATGGCACCTCTGAGTCACTAGCGGAGATGAACCATTATGGGCAGTCACTTCACTGTCTCTTTGTGGAAGCATAAAGATGAATAAAGGGAGACTGAGACTTGCTTCAGCCGTCTAAAAGAAAATGTTTGGATGATGATGTACAATTGCACTTTTTCTTGTGACTTCTTTCAGTTTTGGCTGAATTACAGTTTAAAGACTCAGCAGCAGTTACGACACAGCTGTTACCGCACCCTGCTCCAAGGATTCTTCATTTACACATCTCTTTTTTTTTTTTTTTTTCTTTAATCACGGTGATCAAATGACCCTTTGCTCCAGAGTTTCCGTGTTTGGTTATCATGTTTCATGTGGCGTTTGGGACACCCTGCACCACGTTCCCATGCAGATAAAATCCTGCGTAATCATAAGTCTTCAGTGGACACATCTTGCACCTTTTTTTTTAAGAAAAAAAAAGAAAAAAGAAAAAAAAAAAGGTACTGCTGATATCAACAGCTGAAGGAATGTTAGGACATTTTCATTAAAAAAATACTTCCATATAATTTACATGGTACAACGGCTTATTATACACCTCTATATACATCGTACATCTGTCCTGAAACATTTAAAACAGTATAAATTAACATTCTTCTCTTCAAATTGACATTGCACATAGAAAAGTGGAAAACGGCACTGAACGTACATGCTGAAAGTGAAACTGACATTTGTGTCTTGTCGTCCAGAATGAACAGCACCAGTCTCAAACTGCCGCATTGAGCACGACGGGCTGCTTTTTTATAAAGTGTAGCAAAAAAGATCCACAGTGACAGTTTCCACAAACGCTGAGCTGTGAGTGTTTTTCGTGGGGAACAAATTTTAAGCCTAAACTGCGACACGGGCAGTTTCTATACAGTGGACTGCTGCCTCATTGTCATCAACAAAAGATGTCCATATGTTCTTTAGGGCGTTTTCTTCCTGCACATTGTTCAACTGCTAAGCTGGCTTCACCAACACACTCCAATCCTCTTTGTGTAACAACCGTCACCACACTATTATCACAGTGTTGCAACACCGTCTTTAAAGACCCCCTCTGAGGGAAATCAAGGTTTGTTTGTTTCCTTTGTTAGCATGTCCATATGGTGCTTTTCTTTTGTGTATGCTAGAAGACACACTGTGAGCGAAATAAGCCGTCAGCACTGTGGCTCATTTCCACCTTGAAACTGTACAGATGACAATCTCATAAACAAGGATTCAGATTTATGCTTTGCAACAAACCAAAGCAACCTGGAAGCCATCCTGCTAACCTCCAACGTGTAATGGCTGGATTGTGTCACAACTTGTGTAGAGTAGTTCACAGTATCTAACCAGAGTTGTGGGTGAGCTGGTGAGCTCAGGCTGCAGCGAGCAGTGGAGGCGATACCAGCTTAGAGTTACATCTAATCCACTGTAAGGCAGGACTTGACTATTTTTATGAAAGAAAACTTTTTTAATCCACAGAGATGAGTCTGAGTACAGTCGAATCAACTGTCTGGTGTTGGAGTGCGGTTGGTGGAGCTGATTAGCAGTTGCACATATGGCAACAAGATTTCCTTGACCAAAGTAACATTAAAATAGTTTCTCCCAAGAACACGATGAACTCCAAAGATTGTCATAGAAAAAAATCAGCACAGCATGAAAACGACTGCAGCATCTTCAAACAGTGACAAGATCCAGATGTGAGAACAATCAATGTCTGATTTTTTTTGCCGCCATCGCTGCAGTTTTATGCAGTAGAGGCTGCTTTATACTCTCAAGGTAAATTAAATATCGACGAGCGACATTTTTGATTTCAGTAAATATATCGGTCACGGATGGAGAAAAACATTTTTTTTTTTGCTTCTCAAATGTTCAAATAAACAGAAAGACTGACCAGACTAAAGAATAATGCTGTTCATGTAGCAGACAGACAGATAATCAAATCACCAAGCGCACACTTCTGCAGCAGTTTTGTTGTATTGTGGTGCAAAACTACAATTAGCCCCATACAGACGAGCGGGCGGCATGCTGAAGACAGTTGAACCGTGATTGGGCAAGACACAAGGACCAGTGTTGACCTTTCAATGTCTAAATGAACACAAACAAATCAATTCTAACTTGTGTGTATAAAACTAGTTTCTTAATCCCACATATTGTTTCAAATATATATGCAATAAATAAAACATGAAATGATTCCATTAGGGTTTAATAGATAAATGAATCTCATGAATCATTACAAAGTCGGGACTTATTTAGTGGAAAGGTTGCAAAAATCATCCAATATATATTTGTAATATATCCAATACAAATCTAGATGTCTTTTATTCAAATCTGATGAGGAATATAATAAATTATGACCTTATGAAAATAGAACTTTGTATTCCAAATGGACCTGAGCTGGATTTTTAAAGCCGTAATCAGACAAAACCATCGAACCGCACCATGGATGAACCGTGGCTGAAGGCACAATTTTTCCCTCCTCTCCCGGTAGCTGTTTGTCACACGAGGACTCACGCTGCAACAGCTGCTCATCTGAAAGCACAACTTCAGAGCTCTGTCGTCGTTCTCCGTGAGAAGCGGTGGGATAGTCGCAGCACCCCTTTCTTCAGGCCCAGATTGAGGCTTTAAAAATCTAGATAGACCTTCCAAGTAACTGGAGATAATCACCCCAAGTTTACCACTGTTCCATCTAAACTCTTACCGAACCTGATTTTTTGATATGATGGTCATCTCACCAGTGCATGTTTCACAATCAAGCCCCTCTCTAGTGACTCGCCGTGAACATACGCGTAAGTAAATCATTGTCGTGGGGATATAAATGGAGTGATCTGATGTCTGCCAACTGAAGCGATGCAGAGTTCTCATGTACACAAATCCCTTTATGAGATGAACCATTTTCACTGGAAATAAAAACCTGACCAGGGGTGATGATGTTGTGTCACTGGGGGAGGGGTGTCGAGCAGTAGATTGGAAAAGTAATCTCAATATTAAACCGTTATTAGTGGACAAAATAGAACATTAATTCATGGGCAAAAAATAAATATTCTACTTTCAGGTAGGGGGTGGTACCAAAGTGCAAAACAGACACTTATAAGGAAACTCTGTTAGACAAAAACTTCCACATGTAAACATGTAAAAGTGTCTTCTTAAGAGCTTGTTGATAATCCACTTGTTCCAGCAGTTTCACTGGTGGACGACTGAGCGCGGCGCGGCCTGCTGATGAAGGCCCAGCAGCTCAGGCTCTCTTCAGATCCCGCAGGTGACGTCAGCTCAGTGCAGCCTCTGCTCGTGGATCCGCTCTTGGCGACCGACAGGCCGGCTCCTTCTGAACTTCACATCAGAAGTAAGGTCACTACAAGCAATTTTTTCACCTGCAAGCATTTCCACTGCCGAACTTATCGTGAAGTTCGACTTTCAAATGCCACAACGTGCTGCCGCCTGCAGGGCCACGCCACAGAGGCAGATCTCGGCGCTCCAACTGAGTCCACAACGCTACCGATTCAGCATGTTTTGGAAGTCTGAAACGCTGCCAGTCTGGTTTTGGGAATGTTGGTATTGCCTTTGTTGCTGTTGCGGCTGCTGCTGCTGCTGCTGCTGTGCTAGCGGCAGTTGTTGCGATTGCGGCTGCTGCTGAATGTATCCCACAGCGCCTTGCTGCGGGACATTAGTGGCGTGTAAGAAAGCTGGAGTAGATCCACCGTGTACGAGTCCTTGAGTCATCTGTGGACACAAACGAGAATATGAATGTACTCTGGCAACCAGACAGAGCTCCCTTCATTAAGCTTTAGGAAGTGTAGTCCTTGACTGAGATGAATAATAAATAGTGTACGTGAGGGCTTCCTCTGAATATTAAGGTAGACTCTGCAGTAAGTAACCAGGGCTGTAAACACATTACTCTGGCATCATTTCAAAATGGGAGTGAAGGCTGGCTGGAACGGCATCAACATACATAAACCATATTTTTATTGTAAACGATGACAGCAGCTCATCATGTTGCTGTGCTTCAAAGGGATCATATCACAGGTTAAGTCTATATAATATTTAACTTTATCCTCGCTCTGTTGTAATGCAGAAAGAAGGTAACTGTGATGACACAATCTACGCTTTCTCAAAACTTTTATGTCGGTCTTACTAGCCACTAGAAAATAAAGCTCTGTTACAAAAGACATGCAAAATTCACATTTTGATGTATGTGTACTCTTTTTTTTCCATATGAGATCTTTAAAAAAAAAGCTATAAAATAGGTTAAATGCCAGCCAAAAAATCACTCCCACCCAAAAAATATTCAAATTATCATGTTGCAGCCAGATTCCTCTGCCAACTAGTCATGTTGCAGTTTCATGTCCGTCCAGATCTAGTCTGTAGCATCCAAAAGTCCAAACCACTATATATAAAAGATGGACGTAGCCTCCACGTCTGAAAAGTGAAGCTGATGTCGAAGTGCCTGAAACCTGCATTCTTTCTAACAGCCAGCAGGAGGCGACTCCTCTGGATGCAAAAAGAAGTCCGACTGTATAGAAGTCTATGAGAAATAACCCACTTCTCACTTGATTTCCTACCTCAGTAAATATTTTCATAATGACTTTATAGTCTCATTTGTTAGACTCCTTCATTTTGAACATTAAGGTCCCATTTAGAATGAAAAAGATAATAAGTTTCCTTTCCTATATCTATAACTTCCCTGTTCATGACGATTCTACAGGGGGGTTTAATCCTTATGTAGCGTACTCATTTTAATTTAATTAAGACGAAAGACAAACTTGAAAAAAATCCCCTCAAGGCGTTCCTGAGATTTCACGTTCATAAGAATGGAACAAACAGACAGATGATGCCTCCTATCACGGCTGTCGACCCCTTTTCTGACCAACAAACATCTAGAATTTTTGTTCCGTCTGATATGACTCTATGACAATAACAATAAAAAAAGTAGGAAAATAAAAAGTAAGAAATAAAAAGATCACTGGACTCCACGGTGAGATGCTCTGATTAAAGCAAAGCAGCGTTCTCTGGATGTTTCCAAGAATGTTTTGGCCTGTAGAGGGATGTAAGTAATCTGCTTATGAACTGTCATTTACCATCAGACCAACGACACTATTTATCTACAGGAAGTGTTTTTTAACGGCTCCTGACTTGATTAACAAAAAGATTCTCGAGAATATAATTGAGTACAAGAGTTCAAATCGGACCAAAATCATTTCAGGTCACGGCTTGAGTATGAAAGCCGAGGTTTTAGACCCTGTGGAAATTGCACGGCAGCTTGTTGCTGTGGTAACAAGGTATTCAGAGGCAGTAGAATATCTACAATGATCATGCATTTAAAAAAAAAAAGAAAAAAAAAAAGCAAGCCTCAGGCAAATACACTGAGCAGCATTATGCAACAAATTACTGACTAATAACGCTGCATCTTAAACGACATGTGTGCAGCACCTGAAAGAACTGCTGGGGCTGCTGGAGCTGCAGGGAGTGCTGAGAGGCCTGAGGCTGAGCTTGGTACGCCGACTGGGACTGATGCGTCATGAAGCTGTTGTGTGGGATCATTATGGGGGACGTGAAGACCGGAGAGGGCACGAGGACGGCGTTGCAGTTGACCTGTTGCATGGAGAACGAGGGGGCGATGATCTGCTGCTCCAAGGTGTATCTGTACGGACGGCACAAAGAAGAGCTGACATAATCAATATGATATAACAGCACACACAGATAGACATACTGGTACGCGTGCACGTGCTGTCTCGGTGCTCACATGGTTTGGGAGAGGCCCATGTTGCACTGGGAAGGCTGCGAGGTGCTCGTGGGAACCAGCGTCTGCATCGGTTGGTTAAGGAGCATTCTGCAGGAGATAAAACGTGTCAGTGGAAGAAGTCGATGCGTGCAGGAAGAAAAAGTCACAGCAGGACGTCGGAGCATGAAGGGTTCACCTTAACTTTTTTTTTCATCAAAGAGATAAAGGACATCTTTGATCTCAGCAGGTCTTTCTTTTTGAACTTAAACTTTACAGAAACTACTGTGTAACTTTTCCATGTGTAATAAAATAAAATTCAGTAAATCAGAGGGGAAAACTTTATGTCAGAGTGCTGAGAGTGCACGCTAAAAGCAAGCAAAAGACATTTTCCCTGCTACCCGATACACTGTTTGTGTTTCATCACGTCATACTGCCACCTGTGTCTTTGAGTACCGAGAGTCTTTTTCAGTGTCTCACCGTAGTTGTCCATCTTGGCTGAACTGGTTGTCTGTGTGTCTTTGGTTTGCATCATGCTGAGGCCTTGTGTTGGTCTGAGAGAACATCATGGGGTTGCTGTAGAAGGGCATCGTCAGACTCGTGTTCGTCTGTACAGGCAAACTCACCGCCGGCGTCTGCCCACTCCGGGCAACTCTCTGCTGGACCTGCAATCAAATCACAGAAAAGCAAAAGAAGAAGCTGATCAGAGACAGTGACAGCTTCTAAAACACAAGAATTTAACAGTCAAGGTAAAATCTAACCTAATTTACAAATTGAAATATACTCTAAGGGGAGCAGCTGTGTGTTTCTGATCATTAAATCCCATCCATCAGCTGAAACATTCATTGTTGTGACTACAAAGCAAACAAGCATAAAGTGAAAGCAGCAAGAACCAGAATACCAAGCTGCCACATGTTGCTATGATGACTCTCGGGTTCAATAACAGATCGATATTAGCAGCTGAATCCATAACTCGTCTTCTGTTGTGCCGTGAGCACAGTAGGTTCAGAGTTTATTCAACAACATCATTATTTCAATGTTAGAGGACAGTTTTCTAAACGGTTCCGTTCGAACTTTAAATCTGGATTTGTCTCTCACGCTGCTCAGCACCTGCGTTGACGGCGAGCTGTTCTCTCTCAGGAGTGAGTGAGGGGATGAGCTGTGCGACCCGCAGACTGGCGGTTTCGGGTGGCCCGAGAGCTGCCTGATGACCCCCGAGCCCTGGCTCTGCTGGGCCGGCCTGCCCGGGCCCTGCTGCTGAGGCTGCTGCTGATGCTGCGCCTGGCCAAACTCATTGTGGATAGGCTGCTGTAACAACATCTGACACACAGAAACAGAAAACATTAACTAAAAAAATATATTAATTTTACAAAAAAAATCCAGATATGGAATCAAAATCGGCTCCATCGGTCAGATATATGACCACAAAGAAATTTAACTCCAGCTTTTTTCTTTGCTCTCAACGTACTTAAACAAAAACAGACATGTATTTAAATAAGGGCAACAAGTGAAAGAAAGAAAAACAAGTGTTTAATTACGATCTACAGATATGTGTAAAGGATAAGTTTAGGTTTAAAAGTGAACTAAAAGAGATACTGATGATACAGGAATATTCTGTGCCCTAGTATTAATAATAAAAACAGGGTTACTGACACTTTGTTTACATGAGGTAGAAGGTAAACACAGAGCAACAGTGCTGTAATTAAAATATTAATATGTATGTAATGTGCAGTACATGCAGTGATTCAGGTTAGATTTTACTGTTCATCAGAGTGGCAACCTGTGGGAAGAAGCTGTTTTTGTGTCCAGCTGTTTTGGTTCTGTCGCGCCTACAGGAAGGGGAGTTTGTAGGGACCGTTCTGGCTGATTTATTATGTCCTGTACAACATTTTTCTGATCAGCATTTCAAGATGCCAGTAGTCTGCCTGCACTGCTTTAGCTTTATTCATATTTTGGTGAGGTAACACTGATAAGCAAAGAGCATCAATTCAAGTTTATTTCTGATTTTGCACTCTTTTGCCTCCATTGAACAGGTTCAGGGAGTTCACAGGGACAATGAGCATGAGCTCCCTGCAGCATTCCACAGAAAACAGATGTTTACATGAATCATTTTGAACATTTGTTTTCACGTCAGACTGAAACTAAACACAGAAATTAGTCACCAAGGACAGGCATCCCTAATGCAGTTAGCACGAAGTCTGAAAACAAACATTCACAAATGATTCATGTAAAAAGAGTCGACTTTCTTTGGAAAGCTGCAGGGAGCTCACGCTAATTACCGTTCACAAGCTGTTTTGTGCGAATCCTCCTTCAGTCGAACAGCCAGAATTCTCCTTAAACTGGTGACATGTGGGAAGACAGTGCGTATTTGTGTTTGTAATCAAAGCTCATCTGGTGTCGCCATCACACCCAGGAGGCAGTGACATGAAACGAAGAGACAACTTGTCTGTCTCACATGAACCCTTCGACACCCCCAGACTCTCCCTGCTTGTTATGTGGGTCATGTAGGAGCGAGTGCTGGCCTCTAGGTGGCGCCCTTCCACCACCACTACTACTGCAGGGATTAGATGATGCAAGTTTAAAACATGATATTGACTTTTCCTAACAGCTGCTATGTACGAGCTGAATAATTAATAAATATCTAACTTGAAGATGGCAGCTACCACTTTTTTTTAAAGAAATCCTGTTTTCTCCTAACAACACTCAGTGTCCTTCGTCTTCACAAACAGAAAGGTCCAAGTGTTATGGATGCGACTTAATTACTTTGGACTGAAGAAACTGAAGCAGTGTCTTTGTCTTTCACTGTGGGAATCCTACCTGTAGATTTGCGAGCTGAAGCTTCTCCTTTATGTCGTGCAGCTCCTGCTGCTGCGTCTTAATGTCAGCTTGCAGGATGCGCGTCCTCTCCTCCAGCTGCTCCTTCAGCTGGTTCATTACACCGAGCTGAGGCTGCTGCAGCTGATACATGGAGGAGGACGACGACTGCTGCTGCTGCTGCTGCTGCTGCTGCTGCTGCTGCTGCGATTGCTGTTGCTGAAAAGAGAGCAGTCGGGAAGAGACATGAGCAAAACCTCTTTCGGTCCTCATTGTGTTCAGAATAGCTCGTAAATGTGGCTACAATCAGGTAGCATGAGTCATGTAATGCCTGCGATGATGAAAGCACAGAAATCTTCCCTCTTTTCAAAAATGATACACGACTGATTTCTTGAATATGTAGACAGCTCAGACAAAAAAAAAAAAAAAGATGTAATCGTGACACTTCATTTCTTTCTTTTAACTGTCTTTCACACTTAGAATGTCATAACCGCGCCGAGAGGCACTGTACACAGGCAGCGGATGAAATAAACACACACGGCGACAACAGTCATAACAGTAAGATATTGTACACAAACAGGAGAGAGGAAGGCAACAGGCAGGAGAGGAAGTCTAAACACTAACCATTGCGGAGTGCTTGCTGCAGGTAGGAGAAAGGGGGAGGCTCATTTGAGGAACAAGGTCAAAGGAATTTTGTCTTTGTGCCAAATTCTACAGGGGATAAAAAAAAAACAGGGAAAGGTTGAACAATTAAGCACAACCAGCGACATGATCATCTTGTTTCTTATTTTATCTCCAGAGACAGAGTGTCGCACATAGACATTGCATAAACTGACCTTTGAACTGCTCGGTTGGAGTCTGACGGACGTCTTCTCGGGCCCAATGGAAGCAGACTGCCATGACGGTGTGCAGGCATCGGTGTAGGAGTTAGCTGCTGCAAAGAGACACAACAACGCTAAACACACTGGAGGAAAACACACTCAGGATATGTTCATTATCACTGGTATTCTCTGTGAACTGATAATGACAACAAAGGTGAATAAATTGTCTTGATGCTCTACTCATCACAGTGGGATTCAGTTTCTTGTCAAATACTGTAACTCTAAGTGTGCCGCTCACTCATTTGCCTACCAGCAATTACCAATCATGGTGTAACAAGGTAATGATGACAATGACGTTATAGGTGTTCTACAAGGTGTCCAAACTTTTGCATTTTATTTCAGTTTATGTGTGTAAGCGAATTTATGTTTCTACAAAAGGCTCATTGCTATTGCATTTGCTGCACATATAAAACATAAACCTGTTTTCCACTGCAGGAACTTTGAGGCCATTTAAGGGCGACTCGAACCTGAGGGCAAGTTCTGAACCCTGAACAACCTCCTGAACTGTGTGTGTGGGTCTAAAAATATACCATTTATTAGAACCAGAAACTGTAAAAACAAAAAGAACCATTGTCCTTAAACTACTCATCTGTAAATTAAGAACTCAAACCACCAGATTGAGGGACAGCTTTTTCCCCACAGCTGTAAACTCTGTAAAACCTCATGGACACTCAGGTTAAAAAGCTTGAGACCACATGGACGTGACACTGCACCTTGCACTGCTGCACTTTAATCAGCATATATGTTCTTACTTTTAATCTATTTTTATTTATTTATTTGTTGTTAATGCACTGTATGTTTTACTGTCCACGTCTTTTAATGTTGACTTTTAAGCCGGTATTACCAACAAACTTTCGATATGTGACTGGTGAGACCTATTTGCATAATGACAATAAAGAGTCTTGACTTGACTTGAGGAGGGAGACTTGACCTCATCTGAACTTAAAATCTTTATATTTCATCAATATTTCACATCCTGTTCAAAAATTTGCCAAAAATAAATCTGTAAAAAACCAAAGATTCTGTGCTCCTCCAACAGAAAAGTCATCAGTGTCTCTGTGATCAACACCACAAAAAGTCAGCGACCTTTGGGCTGAACTGCAGGCTGTTTTTACACAGAACAGGAAGTAGACGAGTATGGACACAAATAAATCATTTAAGTAGTAATATGTCTATAATATGTAGTGACCTTTTTTTTCTGTTGTCAGTAAAACCTGTGGTTTGTGTTGAACACGCTGATTTCTCAATTTGTGTAAAACGAATAATCGAAGAACTTCAGCTTTACCTTTTTTCTTTTTTAAGATTTATGGCACTATAATTTTGACACCCTGCACAAAGGACAATTGTGAGTTCTCTCTGCTTCTAGCTGTGGTTGTGCTGTTTCCATAGAGATGCAGGACTTTAAACTGCAGTGAAATGAAATGAAATGTAAGTGAGTAAAAATGTGACAGGAACAAAAAAAAATACCTCGAAACTGTTTAAGGTTTAGAGGGTTAAAGTCAGAAGTCAGAGGGACAACAAGTGCCATTTTTTCTGTCTTCACTATGCAGTGGGAAGCTGCCTTTTCTTTCTTTCTTTTTTTTTTAAACTTCCTTTCACGTACAAAACATTTTAAAATAACTATCAAAATCACTGCAGCACAACCAGATAATCTCTTTTGTGCTCCTCGTCCCTTTTCCTTGTTAATACTCGGTGCCTACACTACCCACAATGCAACTCAGGGGGGACAATGTGGTCCAACCTCCAGGTGTGTTATGCTTCTCGCTTCCAAATGAAGCCCTGAGACATGGGCCTCCAACCTGAGTCGAGTCGCTGAGATGAGCAACGTGGCACTTTCTAACTCGGCTCCCCTCGATTTTATTTTTCATTTTTGAAAGTTGCAGCCTTCAGACCCAGCTGATGTCACGTAGCATCACTTCATCACAGTCCCACTGGAGCCACAAAAGGCTTTAAACAACTTCCACATAAAAGCAGCACTTCCCAAAACCCGACGTTGATACGCTGAGTTCCACTTGAAATCGGACTCAACATAAACACAAACAGCCTCTGCTCTTTAAAAGGGAGCTTTTTTTTCTCTATTTCTTAACTGCAGCCTTTCTTAGAGAAAACTGAAACAACTTATGAAATGCATTTCTATTTTTTCTTCTTTCTTTTTCGGTTGTATAACAATACTGCTGATTCACAAGCCCTCGATTGCCACCTCATTCTGCCACTGACTTAAACCTACAAACTGTGATGCTTTCAGTGAATGATTTTTTTTTTTTTTTCATTGTTGGCAACATAATAGGAAGAAGCAAAGAAAATCATCCACACTCTATATTTTTTTTCTTGAAGATTATTCTTTATGGCATTGTATTGAGATGGGAGCAGCGATGGCAGGAATTAGGGAGTGACTTGCAAGTAAAAAACTCACTGCTAACGACATTTGCACCCGTTTCGTACACACCCTGAACACTGTACAGGCAGGTCGCCCCTTGACCTAATTTTTTTTGCAGTTTCATTCATATAGTGTACATATGTGTGGGCTACAGGAAGATTGCAGCGCAAGGTTTACTTTTCATAAACGGCAATGAATCTACCACTGCTGCTGTATTCCTTATAAATATGCAGATGGAGGTGAACCGTTTTAGTACACTGGTTGGTGGGTGGAAGACCAGCGAAGTCAGAGAGAACGGGGGCACGCTAAAGTAAGCCTTGGAAACCTTTCATCACGGATGCGTCATCAGCACATATATTAAAGTAGGCGCTGTGATGACGTCTGGTCTGCTCATTTGCAGCAGTTTTCACCAGTGAAATTCTTCTCAGATTACATAACAAAGGATCAACTGTGGGATTTTCTCAGAAATTTAAAAAGGAAAAAAAAAAAAAAGGATGACCTAAGATTTCCATTAAATTTGTGAGTTCACCCTAGCAACAGAGCAATAAGTTAAATAACCGAACCTCCACCCGTAACAGGAGCTCGGATTTCTGTCCATAATGACCTGCTGTCGAGTGAGCTAGCACTTTTGGGAGCAGAGGATGACTCACATGCAGAGTCTGACAGCGCTGTGTGGGAGGACTTCCGGGAGCTGTGGGAGGACACCGAACGTGCACCGCTGTTTCTGTCCCGCGGAGCGTCCAGTGTGGAGCAGATGTCCAAGTACAGCTCCTGAGCCTGGAACACAGAGCCACGTTCAGCACAGAGGGTCAGATTTGAAGATGACCTGCAGTACCGACCTCGTTGCTCGCTGTAGGTCGTGGGGCTCTTACCTTCACAGAGGACGGAGCTATCTCAGGCGGAGAAAGCTCTTCGAGACCTAACGCTCTCCTCCTTTCGGCTCGCACCTCGGCATAACTGAACGACAACAGAGAGTCATGTTAATCCAAAAACAGCGCCTCTTTTTAAGCCAAGACAACCACATGCACATCATTAATCCAGGACGGTGAGGGTGTGCGCTCACCTGACGACAGTGTGTGTACAGACGATGAACTCAGGTTTGGAGTTCCACTGGTGGTAAGTAATGTAGTAGTGAGTCTGCAACCAAATCCACTGCTGGCCTTTGGTCAGGAAGCGATAATAGCAGGATTTACCCTTTCCAAACTGCATTACTGTGGAGGAGGGGAAAAAAGAAACCACATATCAGCGTTGACGTATTTCTGTGCAGTTTTCCCGTTTATCTGAGATAGATTCCTGGATCTGGTAAGAAAGGCAGTAACAGACGAGTGACTTACATTGCTTGTGACACTGGGCGATGAGCTCCAAGTCATCCACATGATAGTAATCATAGCCAGAAGTTCCAAGAACCTCAAAGGGTAAATAGCCAATGATGGGTGAAGCCCTGAAACACAGAAGACAAACATGTAAGAGATACTTTGTTTTCTTGCTCAAGATCTGCTCTGATGATGAGGGCGAAGGTACTTTACCTGTGATCTAAAAACAGGAACTTCCACTCAAGGCTGTGTCTGGAAGTGAATTCATCACAAGGATCGTCCACGTTACACAAATCCTGAACAGAAGCAAAGACACAGAAAGTCTGCGTTAAGATTTTAAAGGCAAAATACAAGCTGAACAGTTGAACTTTAGGGACACATTATTCCTCAGTTACTTGTTTTCAAATCATTAACTTGGTACACAGACAAACTGTCTCACATATACAGTAACAGCAGATCTTACTGCAGAGTCGTTATAATGCTCCCACTGTGAAACAGATCACAAAATGTTCAGTACACTGTTCTTGCACAGTGGTTCTCAAAGTGAGGGTCGGGACACCACGGACGGCCGCGAGACTCCGAGGTGAAGGTTGTTGGATGAATTCCAGAAATCAAATCAAATTGAAAAATGATTAGAAAAACTGTATTTTATGAAGAATGTGTGTGAACCTCTGAACCTCCAGTTTGTTTGTTTTGCTCCTGTCACCGGTTCATTCGCTGCAACATAAAGTCCTGCTCCTCTGAGAAAACCACATAACTGTGGCTGGGAGTACAGGGAACTAAAAAAAAAAAGAAGTCTTTGGGGCAGAATAACTAATTTATAATCCCATATGTCAGAAAAAATAAAAATCAAGAGTTGAATTTCTGAGTTAAAAAAAAAAAAAAACCTATACTCAACATGTACAACTTTTTTCTAAGTGTCCACAGGTGTTACTAGTACTGAGAGGAAGAAAATCTCTACACGTTCTATAGATATTTTACTACACAGGCTTTTGTCTCTGTACTCGTCAGCCTACAGTTCAGCCGAAAAGTCCTTGAATGTTTTTGATGTGATTGTTCGTCGCAGCTGAGTAACTCATGGCTTCTTCACTCCATCAAGAAGTACAGAAATAGTTATTTTTCATAGAATATAGTCGGGAAAAGAGACTCTTTTTGACAATTTTTTAAAATGAGGTATGTAAAATGTAGAGATTTTGATGAGAAGCTTAGATGTGGTTAAGTTTCCCAACTGAGCTGCACATAACAGGTGAGTAGTTCAAGGACTGTTCAAAATCTGACTATTAATTTTGTTTTCACAGTTTCTGCCTTTGACATAAAGTCTAATTACTGTGATTTATTTTTACAGAAAACATGCCTTTCAATCCCAGGGGCAGGTTTTTGGGTTCAGAGGGTTAAACGCTGTTTGTTAAACACACACCAACATCACCTACATACTGTGTGTTTACTCAGTCCCACAGTTTAAACAGCTGTATTCTGCTACGAGACAATATTAAATGACTACAAAGTAATATTATGGCTGCTTTGCTGTCGTGTTCTTTTGTGCTGTCCTCATGTCTGTGTTTGGACAGGCCTATCAGTGTGTCTACATGCTAACATTTGAATGTTTCAACCACTGCAAGTCTCCGGCATTGTTAATGTAGGGATCCAGTGGCTGACACGCCTGGTCTTGAAAAAAAGAAAAAAACATTTGAAAATTGTGCCTGACAATATTGTTCCCACAAATCATATTTGTATTTGCATGTTGTGAATATTTCCTGCAAGCTGAACCTTGAACACTGGAAGTTTGTTGTGAACAAAAGCATGTGTCAACTGAAAATTAGTCTGTGGGAGGAACTGTGAAAATTACGCTTTGAGTAGAGTTCAAGAGAAACGGATAAAAGCAAAGTATTTGAAAAGGATTCTCCTTGAGTCTGAGAATCTGACGGGAAAAAAAACGGCTGCATGTCATTTGGTTCAGAAGTTATTGTTACAGTCATTCCATCTGGCAAATCAGCGTAATCAGTGTCTTTTACATTCTGGAGTAAGCAGTGAGGGAGAGTTGAAGCCCGTCCAATACATCTGGTTCTTCTGAACGAACAGGATTTCGATGGCTCTGGTCCACGCTATACATAACATTATTTGCACTCTCATGCAAAGGGGAGTTAATCCGGCCGGGGCCATTACTTAATGTGAGCCCTTTTATAACCATCCTTTAATGTTTGGGAAGGGCAGAGGTAAGTATTAAATTGTTATTGTGATCTGAGTTGATCTCAGAAAGGTTACAGGAGTATGACTGTGACTTTAATGTACTTCTGCAACTTGACAAATGTCCAGGCTTCAACTCATGGAGCGCCTTTGGGTTCAGATGGGAATGATGTAATCGGTGGAAAGGTACGAAATGTGCCACACTGGACCCGTGTGCCACAAGACATTTTCAGTGACTGCGTAACAAGATGGAGTCGGTATGGACTGCATAGTGTCCTCCCTCTTGTGCTCGGCTTGCTGTTGCCCTGCAGACTGCTTTTCTTTGGGAGGAATGGCGGCAGACATATGCAAAACAAAGGCATTAGTTTAAAGATCCGAGCTGATCTTACCTTTAGAAACTGCGGAGTGACTAATCGTACAGTAGCAATGAGGCAGACCTGCTCCTCCAGCGATGACTGCAGACTTCTCGGTAACGTCAATTCAAGCCCGTTACAAGAAGACGTAGGCACTGCGCGACAAGGAGCAAGATTTATACTTTTTTTTTTCTTGTGCATTTTGACAAATTGAAAGGTCCCATATTGTGTCCTTGTTCAGTCTCACATGACACCACAGTGTGTCTTTCAGCACAAAACATTGCATAGATTCATCTCAACATGACTGTCTGATCGGGTTTTGCTTTGAAGCCAATGAGCTGCTTCTGTTCCGGCCCCCTTTAGCAACACCATCAAAACTTTAACAGCTTGTATTTTACATCCCAAATTTTATAACAACCACAAAACACAACAAAAGGGACTTTCACCATATGGGACCTTTAATGCTAAAACTATGACGTATAATAAACAGTCGTCCTCAAATGTATTCATTCATTCATGTATTTAGTTGAACAACCCTTTGAGCCAATCACTGCAATCAAGAGTTTTCTGTAACTCTCAATCAGACTTCTGCACCTGTTGACAGGTGTTTGGATTTTGGTCCACTGCTCATCAGCAAAGTGCTCTAATTTGTCAGGGACAGTTTTTTTTTATTTTTTTTAATTGTTTTTTTAATTATTCTTTTCAACCACAATTCAAAAGCAACGTCTTTTTTCACTAAATTATAATTCAGTAAACTTTTATTTATCATTACTTTTGTCAGTTTCTAGTTATTTGAGTCTGTGTGGAGTTTGCATGTTCTCCCTGTGCAGCATGGGTTCTCTCCGGGTTCTCCGGCTTCCTCCCACACGGTCCAAAAACATGTTGAGGTTAATTGGTGATTCTAAATTGTCCGTAGGGGTGAATGTGAGTGTGCTTGGTTGTCTGTCTCTAAGTGTGGCCCTGTGATAGACTGGTGACCTGTCCAGGGTGTCCCTGCCTTCACCCTGAGTCAACTGGGATAGACTCCAGCCCCCCGTGACCCTCGTGAGGATTAAGCGGTGTATAGATAATGGATGGATGGATGGATGGATAGTTATTTGAGTGACTATTGTGAATTTTGCCTTTTCTTTAATCGAAGGGTATGAATACATTTGAGGACGACTGTATATGCTTTATATCATTACAGTTTACAAAATGCACAAAAAACATGAAGTCTTACCATTGTTATGAAACTTGAAATCTCCAACAAACTTGACATACTCATACACAGGTGGCTCCTTTGGGTCGATGTTACCTCTGGCTAGATGACAGCAAAATTCAATATGTGCCTCACCTAAAAACAGATTTTGACGGTTAATGCTCAACACGTAACACGGCACACGTGCATCTTTATACCACTCGTTTATGAAGTGCTTCTTGATGATATTTTTTGACGCTAATAAGACGGGAGTTGCAGATGCAGAAAGATCTAAAGTACAGCTTTTATGTGACACAAAGAAAAAACAAGTCATACGCAGCCGTGTTTTTATCAGACTTCAACAGCTGCTGGTGTAGATAATGTTATTAGAATAGTCTGAGAAGGAGGAAAAGGTTCCCGTCAACAAAGGGGTCTGGAATAATGTTTATGCAATATTTTATTACACTCATAAATACATTTCTTACATCCACTGGGAGAGTCAGAGGAGCTGATTTACGGTTTGACAGCGTATCGAGTGCACTTTCAAACTGAAGAGGCTTTCCAAACTGAACTCTGTGAAAGAGAAACTTTTACTAATGCAGCTCTCTGACCTCGACGAGACTTGAAATCTACTGTTTTGCCAACAGTTGGAGGCAGGTGATTATTTATTATTCACCGAAAAGCTCGAAAATCTAAAAGTTTTATGTAGACAGGCCAAGGTAGTCGATGGAGAAGAATAAAAAGAAGAATGAATTAGAAAATCACATCTTATGTAACCAGATTCAGTATAATTTAGCACAGCAAAGGCAGTGGTGCAGTTAAAAAGCCATTTGCACAAGAGGTGTCGATCGCTCCAGACGCGACTTTGTGACAGTTTGCTATTTAGGCTACTAAGAACAGACCAGAACAGTCTCCACACACCCTCTCTGTTCCCCAGAAAAGCCAAATAGTAACACAGGATTAAGGTCAGTGTCTTAAACCTCCTCATACTACATTGCTTTGGATTACAGTGCTAACATAACAGTGATTTAAAGTCTTAACTATGATACTAAGCTAGTTCCTATTATTAGCCAAAAGTCTAATCATAGTTACACACTAATCAGCAATCCAATAAACTACAGACCCCAAAGCAGCAGCCTGCTCTATATACAGAGAGTTCAGTCTGGAGGAGATGTTGTGAAACGACGTGTGAAAACGTTATCCAGAGTCAAGTCTTGTTGCCTTTCAGACACAGACCTTAAACACATTAAAAAAAGAAGGGGAAAAAACCAGAATGTTGAGCTCCGAGTGAAAGAAAATGAGAATCCTGATTGTTCTGAGCCCAGCGTTTCTCCCACAAACTGAACTTCTGATCTCCTGTAATAGGAGACAATCTACAGGCTTTAACCTCTTGTGCTGTGCTTCAGTGTGATGACCCAGACACGGTGTGTGTGCAGAGAGCTCGCTCAGCAGGATACTCACTGTCAAGGAAGTCAGCAGCAATGGGGTCAGTCATCAGCATGTGGGATGATAGCAGCTTATACACCTCCCCGTGTTCCCGCTCCGGGAGGAAATTCAAGATATTTTGGTCCACCATATCTGACTGGTGCAAAAAAAAAAACATACAAAAATGAGAGTCAGGCTTTGGGGGAAGTGTGTCAAACGCAACGTGTGATTCTAAAGTGTGTAATGTTTTCGGTTTAATGACGCCTCTTATTTGCAAGCAACAGATTGTTGTCAAAATAAGAGAAAATAATGTAATGCTGAACAGTTTTTAATGTAGCTCTCTATGACATTAATCCTCTGAACCCCAAAACTCACAGTAGGTTCGAAAGCAATGTTGTCTTTAAAAAGAAATCATCAAAACTACATCATTTATCAGAGCCAGAAGCCACAAAAGGAGAAAGAATCATTGGATATTCAGCTTTCCGTCAGAACTAATTATGTGTTACGCACCAGCCACTGGAAAATGTAACAAAATCTGGTCTTAAGATGGGGCTATTGCTTCCAAATTACTTTATTCCACATGTCTCATTTTAAATAAACTGTTTGCTCAAACTAGATTCTGTTAAAGACAAAACATTTGCTTCTCCACAGCACAACTGATGAGCCAATAGAGATCAGGCTGTGACCAACCGACACGTGACAAAAATTCTTTGACTTCTCGACTGAACTGCAGGTTGTGTTTACACAGAGCAGAGAGGAGACAGATATCAAAACGAAGAATGAAAAATGTAAGTAGTAGAATAGTCGTGAATCAGGTTTAACTTGTACACACTTAGAAAAATGTTGTACATGTTGACTGCGAGTTTTTTCAATTTTTGTAAAACAAACAATAAAAGATATTCAACTTCAGTGTTTATTTTTTTATTTTTATTTTTATGATGTATGCCATTATAACTACGGTATATGTTGGACATTTTTGAGTTCTCTGTAGTTCTAGCTATGATTGTGCTGTTTCCATAGAGATGAGAGACTTTATATTGCTGTGAAAAATGAGCCCACAGTGAGTAGAAATGTGACAGAAGCACAAAAAAAGGCCACAAACTGGAGTTCAGAGGACTAATGAGAATAAAGTTAGCGCTTTTCCAGTTGCTTCCAAATGAAGACCACAGAGCATCACAGTAAAGACGCTAACAGTCTGTTGCAGTTTTAAACCAACACATACAGAAATGAAAGTTATTTAATTTAATTCATTATCACTGGGAAACAAAGAGCTTTGTCAATGCAATGTCGTATGAAACGAAGAGCCTTATCAATGAACAAGTCAAATATTGGCCCACATTTATTGGGAAACCTGCAACACGTCTGTTTCCCATCAAGAGCTGTTTATATTTGAGTGGTGATGTGATGTAGACCAACGAATGTGTTTGGATGGTTCACTGAAGCTCACTTACCGGTAAATGGCCAATAAGTGAAGACACACTGTCAGATACGTATATGATGTTGCCATCTGTAGTTAATGCAACCAGGAAACCATCCAGGGCCTGTACGAAGAGGGACAACGTTGGTACAGTGAGGTTTTAAAGTGTTACAGTGTGTTACATCGTCACGGCATCAGAAAACTTCACTGCTGTCACTTATTCTATTTCTTCACCTTATCTGCCTCAAACAACTTCTCACTTCTCCAGCAATGATTTTATTAAGAAAACATGCGAGCCTGATCAAAATAAAATTCCTCTTTTGTCTCTTTGTGTTTAATCATCAGTGTTAGTCAATGTCAGAGCGGAATCGCCCGCTCTGCAAAACCCAACCTCCTGAGTTTTACCTCCAGCATCAGCTGAGTGAACTCCTCATTACTGAGGAACGAAGGCTTCCAGTCCTGCCTCACATCACAAGTTTCATTCTGCGCAGTGATGTCTGAGAAAGATGAAAGGTTTATTAAAACACCGGCATTAAGTCGACCAAATACAAACGTTTAAATAAGAACGTGTGCTGCGCGCAGACTGACATAAACGCACCTTTCTGTTTCTGCAAGAAGTCGATAGTCCTCTGCAGTATGGTGGACTTATCCATCTTGCGTGGATGGCCTTGACCCTGCAGCATGGTGCACAGCTCCTTGATGAGCACATTGAATTGGTCTCTTCTTTTCTTTTCCGATTTGTTGCGGGATGCCCTAAAGCAGGCAAAGGATGACAGGAATCACAAGTCAGTGGGAATGCAACAGTAACTTCAGTTTAACTTTTCATTTTTTTCCTGTTCACGCTGCAGACGGATGAATAGAAACAGTTCAGGATTTCAAAAGAATTCAAAGAAACAGAGCAGAGTGATAAATAGTTTGAGTTTGTTCTAATGTGTGAGGAAATGTTTTATAATCAAAGAGCCAAATGTGATTTGACCCTAAATGCAGATTAACAGATTGAGCCTCTGCAAAAAAAAAAAAAAAAAATGTAAAAAACAGGGGCTGATGTCTAACAAATAAATAAGGTGATTAAACACAGAAAACAGCACATATGATTAGTTGTTTTAACAGCAGGTTCATCTACAGTTGTATATTTTATTTTATTTTTTACTTTTCATCCTAATGTTGTTTCTTCTTTTACTGTCAACAGTTTTTTTCCACACAAATGAACTCTTAATATGTGTATGTGTGCAATATTAAATTATACTACAGAGCCAAAGAAAAGCTGAAGTAACAGGTGGCAAAAAAGTAATCTTCACTTGTGAATCCCGTTTTTTATTATTAATTTACTGTATTTTTTTTTAAACCTTCTGAATCCCAAGCAAATTTTTAGGGGCCTATTTGTTTTTGCTTCTGACTCATTTTTCACTGCCATTTAAAGTCCTGCACCTCTATGGAAACAGCACAACCACGGCTAGAAGCAGACAGAACTGAAAAATGTCTTTTGTGCTGAAAAATACAGTTTGCCTCCGTGTAATCAGGGCCTGCAGTTCAGCCCAGTTCAGACAAGAATTCCCAGATTTTTTATCACGGGGCTGTTGGTTGTAGCTAAGTCACTAATGATGTACCAGTAGCACCGAGGATGCAGAATTTTTAGTTTTTTGCGGAATCTAGTCAGAGCAAACATTGTAAGTTTGGCAAACTTTTAAATGAGACAAATGTACGATAAAGTAATTTTGATGAAATGTCACAATTTAGATTAGATTTCGTGAAGTTTTCTGATGGAACTGGGAGTCACACGTGGTTAGTTAAAGGACAATCGGAGTGTTGAACATCTGCCTGAATTCCTTTGGTTTTCACAGTTTCTTGTTTCGATAAATGATGTAATTTGCAGATTTTCTTTTAAAGGTAACGTGCCTTTTTCACCCACTGGTGGGTTTTTGGGATTCAGAGGGGTAAAGTCCTGTAAAACTCTGAGGTAGAAGCCTCATTTTTAATGTTACCAAGGTACATACAGTACATCCAGATACGTTTAGAAATCAGATTGCAGTAACAGAAAAATACAGAGCTATGCCAGTTACAGTGTAGACATTAACAAAGATATAACTAAAGAAAGGATCAATTAGAATATTGGTGGTGGATGATATCCAGTTTTTAAGTATAAAGTTATCCTGAGACTGACGTAACGCTGGAGTGTCTTTTAAAAAGATAATCTACAACAGAAGATGAATATTTTCCTTCCCATTACAATAAATTAACTTAGGTAAATAAATGTACACCGTTAATACAATCCAAAGACATAGAAACATAAAGACAGCGTTGCGTACCTTTTTGCCCTGTCCTTCTCATCTTCATCCTCCACGCAGCTGTTGGTGCTGGAAACAGACGGACACAAGTTAAAATGTACTTTCCTTCTGTCGTCAAACACGGCTGACATAGACATTAAGACTGTAGAACGACATGTTTCGATTCATAGTGCACTGTCTTTACGTCAGGCAGCAGAAAAGTCAAAGCAGAGAAGCACAGGCCTTAGTATGAACATGAACATTGGCTCTGCTCTGTTCCAGTGTCCCAGTAAGTCACGACAGTGTGACAGTGAATCATCAGCTGGACCCTGAAGCTGAAGCAGATAAATGTAATGGATTCGCCATCATATATTTTATCACTTATCTCTGTGCTTTTCCTACTGTGACGTGTCCAAATATGTCCTGCGTTAAACGGCATCCTGGGTTTTAGGATCCGTGGAGAAAAAGGCTCAATCGGTGGTTGTCATCAGTCAGATAAACTCGACAGATTATCACAGACAAACTGCACTTCCCACTATTAATGCCATGATTCTGTAACCTGGTAACCCAGATGAAGCTCCTGGTTGTCTCCCGTGAATAACAGGTCACTGTGACATGTAAACGGCCTACTCCATATTCCCAGTTTCGGTTTATTGCATGGTTTGATAGTTAACAGCAGCAGGTTTAACATGCAGAGTCACATTTTATGTCAGTGAGCAGAAGGGTTGCTTAGCTGGAAGTCGATGTTATCTTTTCTTTTCTTTTTTTTTCACTTTACTGCTTGTACATGTTTTACAATCTGAGTCCATAACAGTATGAGTTTTTTATACTACAACAGCCTCATCAATGGCAACAGAGATAATCAGTGTATGTAAACAGCCTCGCCCAAGACTTTAACCCGAATGTGACCAGGAGCAAGCTGCCAGGGCTGGACTCAGGTTTAGTCACTTTCTAATTTATTTTAATGCTTCTCTCTCTGGCTGACTGTGCCAATAGTCTGCATTCATGCAAAAATAGAGACTGTAGCCACACACCTGTGAGCGTAATGTCAATAAAGCAGAAAATAAAACGCTGAAATTCAGCTTCCCCCACTGAGAACTCGGCAAATTTCTCATTTACAGATGGCAATAAGAGCACTTTTACATGGTGCATTGACTGGAGTTGAGCATGTTAATTACTGTGCTCATATGACAGAGCAGATAATGCGATGCTCATACAGTGCATTATAGAAACTACAGGCAATTAAAGAAACAACCTCTGGAGAAGTTTAAGAGGGAAGTTAAGACTTTCTTCTGTGTGACTGCAGCTTTTCACTGGATCAAATTAAATTTAGCCACACAGCGATTCATTAAAATGCTTCATTACCCTTGATGGATGTAAGTGCTTTGATCACATCTGTGTTAAAAAGCTCTTTGCTTTGTGAAGCAGATGGCACTGTGAGTTGTAAGTACATAGCCTCAATACTGTGCACACTGTGTTATGTTCTATGCATCAGACAGATTTCCACAGTCGTTCAAATCAAAAAGCTTCTAAATGCCTTTTCAGAATGCGTTTTACACATTTCTTACTTAATATTTTATCGCCTGCCTTTATATGTGAAATACTATCAACAACTATGCCAAACTTTGCTGAATTTTCAAAGTCGGAAACAAATTCTAACTTCCACCCATACACTCCTCTCCTGTTATCCCTTATTCCAGAGTCAATCCACATTCTTCTGCACATCTATTTAATACTACCTTTGCCATAGTTTGACTGAAAAACATCTTTTCAGATGTTCCAGCCAACATCTCAGCTCAATCATTTTTTTTTTTACCACCTCTTATTTTCACAGAAATATTAATATATCTGCAATACACTGAATCATTGTTGGCAGGCTTCGAGCACAATAAAATGTGTGAACAATTTATTTATTTTTTTACAGTTCTGATTGTGGTCAACCAATGAATAACAAAAGAACGGCAACCATTGAAATATTTGACAGTGATGGAGGAAGAGGAAGCACTGAGGTAATTTGAGTGAATCACAAAAAGCTTTTAAAAAGCCTCTACGTCAGCAGCTAGAAGAAGTCAGCGACTCTCATCCGATTCAATTTAGGAGCAAAGAAATGTGTACAATGGATTTAAATGTTGGTTTCATTTTAAATAATGCCTTATGTAGCGAAATAAAATTGTCCATATGAAGCTTTTATAAAATGACTTAACTACCCACATCATATCTTATTGGGACTCGTGCTAGATATGACGTAACACTTTCATGCACACACAACACATCCTTTCATTTATACTATATGTGTGTGCGAATGCAACATCTTACACATTTGCAGAATATATAGAATGCACATGTCAGGAACTGTGTGTGGAGCATATAACTCAAATAAAGGCCACAAACAGAGGTTCACTTGATCTGATACTCACTCCCAGTCCCTGCGGGTGGACGGACAGGGGCCACCGAAGTCAGAAAGGTTGTCCATAGTCACTCCCTCTCCCAACCAGGCCCTTCCTGAAGTCTTTTAAGTCCCATCCGCGCTGACCTCGTCTGAACACTCTTTTAGAAAGACCTACCAGGGAACAGTCGCCCACCGCCTCCTCGATTCCACCAAAGAAACGCCAAATCCTGTGGAGACAGACAAACCTGATTAGAAGGTCCCGAGAAGCGAGCATGTTGTTGAGGATTAAAACTGCATCCACTCGTGTTAGTGTGAAGCAGCTGTTTTGTTTGGGATTTGTGTTAAAGAAGAAAAAAAAAAGCATCTGCATTTTTTATTTTGAGGACTTAATGTGCTTTGCAAGCGAAGCTTTAATAATGTAATGTAAAGTGAATGAGCCACCTTCACCTGGGCACTTCATCACTAAAGAAGTGTTTTTGCACGGGAGGAGCTTCCCTGACCTAGAAAAATGTCTAAAGCAGACACCTCTTTTGATAACCCAGCGTGAAAAACTGAGTGCAGAACAGCCACCTTCTTCACATCCTTTGTACACGGCGAGCTTAAACAACATGCAGCAGACACCTCTTTCATAAACCCAACTCAGAACTCCCCGAGTGGAGCCTTGGCCAGCTGCAATTAGCAACGCAACGTTGTATGTATTCAATTACAGATATTAATAACATGTCTGCAGACATTCTACACTTCAAAACATGTTTTTTCCTTTATGTGGTCACCAGAACACACTGTGTATCATCTTAGTCAGCCAATTTCAGCTGTCTGAAATACTAACAATAACAAAGAGCAATTATTTTATTCCGAGTCACCATCATTTTCCAGTAGGAAAACAACATATGCTTCCTTTTAACCTTGATTAAAGTAGTCCATGGTTTTGTGGTCTGGAAATAAATTACATTATGTATCAATTATATTCAAGTTATAATTATAGTTAGTGGGTCATCTTAATTCAGGCAGCCGACAGTGTTTGTCTTATTCCACATGTACTGAGAGAAGCCTCGGGCGAAAATACCAGTTATTGCTTCTTCCATCATTTTTAAACTAAACAAGGGCCATGGTCAGAGGAGGAACGCTTTAATGGAAATACATGAGTGATGTGATGTAATTAACTGCTCAAAAGATTAGAAGTCCCTGACTAACCCCCTCAAAAAAAGTCTGCTTCCTGATAAAGTCTTATGCCCTGATTCTAATAGGAAAGCCATAAATTGTAATAATGAATCAAAGGTATTTCATTATAGAAATCATTTTTTTTGGTCTTTGCTTTATGGATTCTTTCTCTGCTCCCACTACATACAAACATAAAGCTGTATGTTGCTTAAAGCGCAACTTTAGCTAAAATTACTTGACCCACAGACCACTTGGGCTCCAACACTATGTGAGCTATAAAAATGTAATTATATGCATTTTTCTTAGCGGTGCAGTATATGAAAAGAGGAAGAAACAAGCCAGCTGATTTTAGAAACTCTTTGGTCAGTTTACTTCCATCAGCACCGTGGGGCGCAGGATTCTCTAAGCGTCTGGCCAACTGATGTTCTGGTGAGCCTGACCCAGATATATGCTGTCATATGAAAACTATTCTTTTGCAGTCCATAGTGCTGGGGTAAATTAGAAAAATGGTGTAATAGCTGCGTAAACTTCACTGTTTACAATGGTGTCTGCAGCACATGTAGCAGAGCACATGTCACAGCTGAGCCGACGGTGGCGCCGAGTCAAACGGTGTCTTTACTAGAAACTGCCAATTAGTTTATGAAAGACATTGCTAGAAAGTTAATAAATAATCACATCATAAGAGTAAGATAAGAGTAAGATAAAACTTTATTGATCCCTTTGAAAGGGTACCTCAGGGAAATTGTGTAATCAATATGACTTTAACACACTCTCTGAGTATGTGCTGAGATTTAAGTATATCTATCGGTTGATTAATTGATTGAATTCTGTACCAGCATCGGCTCCGAAAATCACACATCAGTCTCAGTTAACATTCGCATCATCAGTGAAATTCACTCGCTCTTATGAGATAATATAATGTGACTGAAAATCTGTATTATTGTATTGTATCCAAATAATAAATACTGCATTTTAAGAACGCCTCTTGCAAATTACATCTGCCAGCAGGGACCGCTGCTAAGATAAAAGCATTCCACTACTGCTCTCATCTCAGGCTAATTCAGGTAAAAATCTAAATGCTACTTGCTGCTTTAAAATCAGGCCTTGAGTCCTGTTTTGTTATGCTCATATGTTCCCATTCTTTCTATTCATGCAGCAGCAGCAGCAGCAGCAGCAGCTTCCAGCCCAAAACAGCCCTGAATCTCATTCAAATTCAAACATTTAGCTGTAATTAATTTTTTATGTGCTTCAAGGATATACAGACAGGTGACTAATTAAAGGAAAAACCTGAACCATTGACCCCTACAGTGAGAGCGGATCAGGTGGTTCTGTTATTTTGTGGGGGCATTTTGTTGCCGTTGGTCCACTGGTCCCTTTAGAGGGAAGAGTTACTGCAACGCAATACAAAGCTGTTCTGCGAGATCACCTTTATCCCATGATGAAACTTTTTTATCCTGATGGGAGTGGCGTCTTAAGGACGACAATGACACACATATGATGTAAATCGCATGATTTGATCTTCACAGTCATCAGATCTCAGCCCATCAGGACACCTGTGGGAGACTTGGGTCTGACGCATTAAGTCAGCACTCTTCACCACCATCATCAAAACACCAAATGCGGGAATTTGTTTTGGAAAAATGCCGTTCATCCCTCCAGTAGAGTTCAGAGAATCAATGCCAAGGTTTCATCGAAGCTGTTCTGGCAGCACATGCTGACCCAACACCTTATTAAGCCACTTTATGTTGTTTTATTCTTTAATCTGTCACCGTCTATATATGTACTACTAAGAGCATCAAATGGGTCAGAGACAGCTAATAAGGTAAGAAAAAAATCAAATCAAAGGCACAAAGCACCAAAAGGCTTTTACTGTGAAGCAGCAGGTGTTGATTTTTACCAAAGACATTAACCACTGAGAGAAGACACTCTGCTCCGCCGTGTATTCAGTGAAATATACTCACATACAGCTAATTTGCTGTTTGCTCAGTTGTGACTCACAGTTCCGAGTTGAGTTATATTTTGTGTTTAACTTAAACACATTGGGCCCAGTTTTACATTCCATCTCCTGCTTCAAGTCTGGAATTTCTCATTTAATTGCCCAACATGTTGGTGGAGGGGTGGAGGGGGGGAGTTTAAACATTTTAACAAGCTGGCTCTATATTTTTTTGTTGGCAGATCAACCCAAACTTGTGAGATCAACACGAAGGTGGAGCTCCGTGGCCTCTATAATCTCCCACTCCCTGTATGATACACAAGCTGTCACCCCACCTTCAGGCTTACCCAGAAACTAGGATAACCAGGCAACTCAGTGGAAACGCAGATTGCAATTAAAGTCTTAATTTGTGTAAACAAACCGGTATCTCCTCCCCTGACCACACAAACACATGACAGAAGGAGGAAGCGAAAGCTGTAGAAAGAAACCGGATCCTCACGAGTGCTGGACCGAATTTCTAAACTGTTGGGCGATTATTTAATGATCATTTGAATGCCACTGATATTAACATTCTCTTCATGTTGAGCAAGAAAAAAACATTTGCTACCGCTGACGGAAACATTAATGCTTAATCAGAAACACAACCTCTGCATTTCCTGCAGTGCAATCTGCACATACACTGCCAAACTGCTGCTTTTATTTACAATGTGAGACTGAAAAATATGCTCCAGAGATGTAACAAAATGTGAAACAACACCCAAATTTCCTATGTAGGCAACACAAATCAATGAGCACTGTGAAGTAATTCTGCTGTGTAGATGCCTTTTTGAATAATGTACTAAAAAATACAGTTCCAGGCGCACCAACAATCAGTGTAAGCAGTTTCAACATACGCATCTTCGCTCTGCAAAGCGACGTAAAATGAAACCCTCATTCTTTTAACGTATTGAGGTTAAACCACACCTTGCAAGGTTAACAGCTAAAAAACATCAGAGTCTGGTTACACTGCTGCCTGCAGGTATTTAAAGCCTTTAACTAGAAACCTGAACTCGTGACACAAGTCAGCTCAATGAAGTTCAAGTTGATGACCAACACTGCATGTAAACAGGCTGTAAAAAGGCTTCAGAGTGCAACAATGACAATGCAGGACTTTGTTTTTTGCACATAAAGTTTCCAAACAGGAAGCCTAATGTATTAATTGCTGGTGTCCTAGAAAAGAGTTTCGGTTTAGTTTTACGCTTTAACAGAAGCTGCTCTGAACCTCACTCCTGACACTATAGGAATAGAATATGTGCTTCATTTGTGCCTTTAATTTAAAGCTTATTAACTATTTTGACGCGCTTTTCTGAGGCGCTTTAATATTCAAAGTGTATGTCTGGTGGTAAATTTTGAAAAAAGGTACTACCAGACTGATTTTCATTTCAAACAGCGTCGCTGAAACGCACTGATGGCTTTGATGAGAAAAAAAAACAGCAGTGTGCTGTGTGTGTTTGTGCACAGCCTGCTTACTGCTGAAGATATAAACTAATCTTCCACTGCAATAAATTACATCTAAAAAGCCCTCGCTTCCTCTTCACTTTGGCTTTTATTACCTTTAACAAGATATCGGTGCTGGTCATTGAAAAACGCGGGAGTCACACACAGTTTGTGCTGCAGCAGCGTTCAGCATCAGATGGTTGTTTATGTTGCTGAAATTGGGATATATGAGGTGTGGCTGTTACATAATAAAACTGATGCCTGAATTCAATCTCTTTCATACCGAGAAGATTTAAAGAGGCAGGAGTTAACCATGCGTGTCCATCAATCAGCGTTCATACGTCCTCGCTGTGTGTGACAGTCACGCTGTTGATGTTATCTCATGTGGTAACACTCCATCACATGCTTTACGTGTGTGACACGGCGCACACTGAACTGATTTTAAACATCAGATTACTAATCAAATCGCAATATCCGTCAGAGGAATCCCAGCCGAAAGACATCGTTCAGCTCTAGTTGTTAGAGATGCCGCCGTGTTATCTGCAGCTATCAAACAGGTTCTTTTTGATGCCATCGGTCACTTTAATAACACCTTAAAGAGGGCACAAGCACAGATGAGAAATGTTGACGGGAGAAATTTCCCCGTAGCTGTCCAAG